TCTGAATGCACTGTATGTGTTAATACATACACACACACACACACACAATAAATATGTTTGCCTGGTTGAGGGTTTCAGTTGATTAGAAAAAACTTAATGGAGTTCAGTGAGCTCGAAAATAATAAATCAAGCAATCCAAGAAATAATTCAAAAAACTGACAGGATAGTTAAATGTTTAAAACACAAAGTCACTATCTTCAACTTGCACCTGAAACAAAATTTTAGAGTTTTTTTTTTCCTATGGATTTTGAAAACAGTCCGCTTTCTTTAATCTGACTGAACAAGAATCTAAATGAAGTTCTAAATTATGTAACTCAGACTTCAGATTTACAGCATTCATTTTATTTATCTTATTTATTTAAGAGCTTACATTCCACCTATAGTGATCCTAGGTGGCTCACAACAACCAATAAAAACAATATAAAAACAAATCAGGTTTTTTGGTTTTTTTACTACTGATCTGAAATCTACCATCTGCAATTAGTGCAAAAGGAGTACCTGGAATTAAAGAATTCTGCCCAATAATTAGTTTTGAGTTAGTTTTAATTAAGTTCACATTCAATATATACCAAAATTACCTCAAAAAGTCTTCATTTCAACTGTACCGACTGGAGTGGGAATAGATTATTAAGGTACTGCTATTAATCAACTGGAAGCCAGAGATGTTAATTTTTAGAGATTCACCAAAAGATCCATCTATATTCTGCCCATTCCTAGCCTATCATCTTTAAGCGAGAAGAACTTCTGCATTCATTGGTAACAGAGAATAGTCTATCAAGGATGCATCTTGGTAGTCACTGTCTTTAACTTATATATTAATTTGATGGCATTAATTTTTAACAAGCCTAATTTCCATGCTCCCAATCTGGCAGGCTGCAGGATAGCCATGCCATTACATCCCAAACTCCAATTCAGCTCAAAATAGTAGCAAAATCTCTACTACATGGTCAATTATCAAAAATCCATTCAGCAAAAGAGCCAAATGAAAAACCTGGATAAGATCAAGAAGATTCACATCTTTAAATACCTTGGGGTGGTCTTTGATGCTAACAAATCATGGAAATCACATCAAAATTATGCCCCTCTGATGGCATTAGGAGCTTCTGCTGCCGTTAGGCCTTTCTTTTTCACCAGGGGTGGAGAGTTAGTTCCTATTGCTCTTAACACATTTTAGAGCCAAAACGTTAGCTCAGATCTTATACAGAGCACAGGCTGGAATCTATGCTACAAAGAATACCGTGGAAGTGGTGCACACACAATTCTTGAGACGTATTTCTGCCACCCCAAGATGTATAGCCAACATCACTCTCAGACTTAAGGTGGAAATGCCTAACATACAGGTTATAACCTAGAGGCTAAAGAACAGTTACCTGCTAAAAACCCAGTTTTTCCCCATTGACCTATTACCCTTGTAGTGGCAAAGGAACGTTTATCAAGTTAGAGGGATATTATAGAAACCAAGCTAGTATTTTATGATTTTTCAGCTGGGTTCCTTCTTACCCTGGACTATGAAAAAGCCAGACATGCATTACTTTAAAGGACAGATTATATGGAGAACCAATTGGACATTAATAGGATGCCACACAACAGCAGAACTTGGGTTTCAAGCAGACTTTGGATGCCAGCCAAATATTTAATACCTTTCACCTCCCCAAAACTGCAGAAAGACTTCTTACAGGCACAACGTAAGATGTTACTATCAGCACTCCTACTGGACAGATACTACAAAATCCCAACAAGTGATTCAGAGGAGACTGAAACAATTGCCCATACAGGGAGTTAATGATTGTAATTGGGAATGGGAACTCTGATGCTAAGCGAAGTGGCCGTAAAGCAAA